AAAAGGTACTTAGCATAAAAACACATTGGAAGTCTGAGATTCCTAGGAAAATATTGAAAGAGGAGGCCTTGCTGTTTCTTTAGTATTATTACTTCATTTTTTATTCTTTTTATTTTTTAAACAGGGTCTCAGACTGATCTTGAACTTGGGGTGATCCTCCTGCCTCACTAACCAAAGTGCTGAGATTACAGGCGTGAGCCATTCTGGCTGCCTGCTGCTCCTGAAGAGAGTAGTAATTGCTTAAGAAGTTCTTAAATGTACAGTTTGAAATATTAAGCAGACACTTAAGAATCTCTAACTCTGAACTAATTAAAGTCTTTCTCATAAATTATACTTCATCTAAATGTCTTTCTTTCCTGTTGGTGTGAGACCAAAAGTGAAGCGGGATATCTTAATGTCATCCCAGCCTTTATTGGTTTCTTATTTCTTTGAAGAGCCTTTCCATGATTTGGCTTTCGGTATTATTAAAAAGTAGAAAAAGAAAAGATATGGCCAGGAAACAGGGAAGAAGAAAAGAAAGGAAAGGAATCTGAAGTAAAAGTTAATGCTTTTTATTATTGTAAACACCAGATTACTGTATAAATGGAATAGAAACCCCGTTCTCTTGTCTGCTCTTTCCATGAGCTCATAATACACATTAATCAGGTTTGCATGAGAACTCAACACAGAGATAAAACATTTGCTGGTTAGTTTTTTGTTGTTGTTGTTTCTTTGTTTCTTTGTTTTGTTTGTCAATTTGATATAACCTATACTCACCTGGGAAGAGGGTAATTTAATTTCGAGAATACCTCCATCACTTGCATAGAGGTAAATCTGTGGGAGCATTTTCTTGATTAATGATTGATGTGAGAAGGTAAATAATCCTTTGTGCTATAAGAAAGAAAGCTGAGGGAGCCATGAACAGCAAACCAATAAGCAGCACTTCTCCATGGTCTCTCCCTCAGTGTCTATCTCCTGGTTCCTGCCACATTTGAGTTTTTGCCTTGGTTTCTCTCAGTGATGGACTGTAACGTAGACTTGCAAGTCAAACTATTTTCTCCAAAAGTTGTTTTTAGTCATTGTCTGTTACTGTTCTATTGCTGTGGTGAAGCAATATGACCAAGGCAACTTTTTTTTGAGACAGGGTTTCCCTGTGTAGCCTTGGCTGTCCTAGACTCAGTTTGAAGACCAGGTTGGTCTTGAACTCACAAAGATCTCCCTGTTTCTGCCTCTCTGAGTTCTGGAATCACAGGTGTGGACCACTACACCAGACTTGACAAAGGCAACTTTTAAAGAAGCATTTAATTTGGGACTTTCTTATATTTTCATAGGATTAGTCCATGACCACCACTGTGGGGAGCTTGGTGGTGGGTAGAGATGAATACATGGTATTAAAGCAACAGCTGAGATCAGCTTAATCCTGATACACAGGCAGCAGGCAGAGAGAGTGAGACTAGGGCTGGTGTGGACTCTTGAAACTTCTAAGCCCATCATTAGTGACACTCCTTCTCCAACAAGGCCGCACTTCCCAATCTTTCCCAAACAATTCCACTAACTGAGGGCTAAGCATTCAAACATGAGCTTATGGGGGCTATTCTCAATAAAATGACCTTGGTCATGGTATTCATCACAGTAATACACAGCAAACTACGACAATAGGATTGTACCATGTTTTGGAACTGCAGCTGTGCACATTCAAAATACTACTGAAAATATCTTTTCTGTTGAATGTATTGCATCAGCTGTCAATCAGGTCTGAAACCTTTGGCTCCTCCTCTTCATCTTGACTTCAACAATGATAACCAATTTGTTTGCTAGAACTGGAAACAACACATGTTTTCACTTCTCACTAGTATTACTGCAGTAGCTTTCCAAAGGTTTGCTTTCTATGGTTCCTTTTATTCTCTCTCTTTCTCTCCACTTTGACTGCACTTGTGATTGACTAAGGTCTCATGTGTGCTAAGCAAGCACTCTACCTTTGAGCTACAACCCCAATCCTGCCTCATTCTTTGTTGTTCTCTCTCTCTCTCTCTCTCTCTCTCTCTCACACACACACACACACACAATTTTTTCTTTCACATCTATTCTTTTAAAAAATTTAAAAATGATTGTGTGTGTGTGTGTGTGTGTGTGTGTGTGTGTGTGTGCAGGCATCTTTGAGACCAGATGATATCAGATCTGTAGGAGTTGGAGGTATATTCATGAGCTTTCCAATGTATGTGTTAGGAAACAAACTAGGGTTCTCTGAAAGAGCAGTTTGTACTATCAAAATCTGTATTATCTCTCTTGCTCACTCCATAAAATTTCTTTGTATATAAGGTTTTAGCATTTCCTCCCAACTTAGATAATTAAACCATGTAGCCACTGTTGGTTTTCATGAGTGTGGTAGATACTGTTCTACAGCTGTGATAAAACACCATGAACAAGGCAACTTATAGAAAAGAATATTTGGGGCTTTAGGTTCCAGAAGGTTAGAGTCTATGATGGCAGAGTATAGGTATCATGTGGCTAGCAGCAGAAGCAGCAGGTGAGAGGTCACAACTTGTACCACAAATAGGAAGCAGAGCATGTATTATGGACAGAAGGAGCCTTTTGAAACCTCAAGCTCATCTTCAGTGATAAATTCTTCCAACAAGGCCATACCTCCTTATCCTTTCCAAACAGTTCCACCAACTGGGGACCAAGTATTGAAATGCCAAGACTATTGGAGGATATTTCATTCAAACCACAACAATGGGTCTTAAATTCTAGTTATATTGAATTGTTTTATATTATCTGTACATATACAAAAAGGTTCAGATTGGCGCTTTTAGTTATGCCTTACCCCCTCCTTCTCACAAAGAATTGTTATGCCCAGATCTTAGGGTCCCCAAAGACCACCAGGAACTGGACCACATTTGCAAGAGCAAAGAGCTTTATTTGGGCTTAAGTTTGGTCTATCTACCATCACCAACACAGTAGATCAGAGAGGAGAGCCCTGGGCAGCTGCATGGCAGAGTTTTTATTTGGGATTTGACCAAGAACTAAGAATTCCCAGCTTAGCAGTTACATCGTTGAATGACATTCAGCAAGGGCAAGCTTATTACAAAGTGATTGGCTAACTAACATAGCCAACACTGAGCAAGCTACCTCAGGAATGATAGGTCAGTGGGCTGCCCAGTACAGATGTCCCACTCTGAGATAAGATACCTTACCATTCTTGTGGTTATCCTCAGGATATTCCTTAGGTAGGGAATTTTATGGTTTTCTTATTTCTGGAATTGGTGACCTATGGCCTAGTTCCTAGGACTGATGATTTTTTTGGGGGAGGGGGTTTCAGGCCTGGTCCTCTCAGAATTAAGTTCTATTAGAACAGAAACCATATCCACCTTATTTGATTCTTTGCTCTATTCTTAGATTTTAGCTTTATATGTGGCACACAGTAGGTATGCAATATATAGTGACTAAATGTATAAAATCATTACATATTAAATTACTTTTTAACTTTTAAATTATTCCTTTTAAAATGTTTTCAGTCATGCTTGTTTTCCTCTAATACTTAATACTTAAGTGATTTGATATTTTTAGTATTTCTACAAGCTTTTTCTATGCCATGGTTAGGACACTGATCAATACCTTTCCACTTTGAATTGTAGGATTCCTTAGAACTGGAGTTTAAAGACAGTCCTGTAGATGCTGAGCAACAAACTCAGGTCCTTTGCAAAAGCAATAAGCATAAATGTAAACTGCTGTGATGTCTCTTGTTGCTCCAGTTATATTTATGTTACTTTCCCAGCAAACTGAGATATTAAAGGCATTATCTACATTCAATTCATAATTCTGTCCTCAAAAGGTGGCTTGCCTGAATAGGTAAGGACTAGAACATACTCCTAAAATACCAATATTAGGGGAGGGTGCCATGGAAACTTGAGTAAAATGCAAACTTCAATGGGTTATTATAATTTATTTAAGGATTATTTTATCTAATAAGTTAATAATTTGTATGCTGTGCACATAAACATCAAAAGTTGAAATTATTGGTTAGACCTCAATTTGCTAAGGTACAGGTTGAAAATACTATCTGTACCTTTATCAGCCAAGATATAAGGTCAATGTGGCTAAAGACTAAATTCTGGCTGATATTCAAGAAGTTGGCACAAAGTCATGGTTTCCATAATTCATTTATTTCCATGTTTTCCCCCCTGCAATGGACAAGAACTATAATTATATTTCAGTTGTGGCTATCATGATCCTAAACATCTAAATCAATTCTCTGTGTAAATGGGATCTTTGGCTTTAGCATTTTGTTATAAATCAAAACTATATAACACATTACATTACATGTTTATCAATTTCCAGTTTCCCTCCCCTACCCCCACCCCCCATTCTTTGTCCATAAGCTCAAATTTTCCTGTTGCAAATAATCTGGTTTTGGACTCCTTATTTGGGTCTTGGGAAAAACAAAACAAAACAAACAAACAAACAAACAAACAAAAATATTTGATTGCTGGAGCAAACTATTCCAAAGGATGCAATTGGAAGGCCAGGATTGGGATCATATCATTTATAGATCAGCTTATTACATTGTCCAGTACTTTATCTTGACAACAGCCAACCCACAAGAAAGGATTCTTTTGAAAGCTCTCCAGAGAATAAAAACCTGTCATTCTTCATTACTTGCTTTGGACATTTACCACTCTGAGCATCTAAAGGCCATTTGCTTTAGCACTATACATAATGCACAAAAATATGGAAAAACAGTTTCTGGGGAACATCTCACTTTTTAGTTGTACAATCATTTCTCTACTATTCTGATGAGCAGTATGTATGACTTCTAAGAAAAATCTTAGTTCTCTTTGGTTCTCTTTGGTATGCTAGTCTTTGAAGACAGCCCAACATCTCCACTTGACCAGCCCCTTCCAAAAACACTCTTGAAGCTCTTTTTAGATGAAGTTTTCCCTAGAATGCCCTCACATCCTCTTAACACTTCACTATCCATGCCTTTTATTTCATATTTAGTCTGAATCATAGACAGAACATCATTTAATGCAAATTTAAGCTTTATTGAATTAGTAGGCATTATCTAGAGATTGCAAATCATTACTGGCCCAGCACAAATACAAGTGTTTATTCCAAGGTGAATCTTGGTGAAATGAGAGCATAAATTGACAGTTTTTTTCTGCTACTTGAACTATTTCTATAAGGTGGCTTGCTACGGACACAATCTTCCTCAATACCCATTCAACACAGTCTTTGTTTTTACATCTCCCTTCAGCTGAGGGATTCACAATATGTAAAAGAAGTTTGTAAAGAACCATTCTGTATCAGAGGTAGTTTTGTGCCTGCATTATGCATCATAGAAGACATCTGAACAAAGACTTCATAAAAAAGGGGAGAAGAGATATACCAGATCAGAGTTGAGATAAGTGAATTTTTTCAGCTAATTTCTTACAGTGGCAAAAGTATCAACCAAAATTTAGAATAGTCTTTTTGTCTATTTAATAACAAAGCATGCAGTAGCCTGGGCAGACAATAGCTTTTAATAACAACCTTAAATGTGGCTTGAGCACCAAGGATGCATTTTTAACAAATATAAAGTACATTTATATGCAATGACTAGTGTAGCGGTTGAATTATGCCCCCCCCAAAGACATGTTCATTTATGTACTAATCCCCAGAATTTGTGATATTAACTTATTTTCTTAAGGAGGTTAAGGGAAGGTGTAATTAAGTTTAAGCTCTGAAAATGAGGATTTATCATAGACAATCTGGAAGGGTCACTAAAACTCCTTACGAGAGAGGCAGTGGTGATTATATACACAGAGGGGAAGATGTCAAAAACACAGAGCAGAGTGAGATAAAGCCACAATCCAAGGAATAATTACAATCACATGAAAATATGCAAAGAGTAGATTTTCTCCTAGAGCTTGCAGAGGAGTGCTGTCCTGCCAATATCTTGGCTTTAGATTTGTGGCCTTAAAACCAGACAGAACCAGAAACTTACCCTTTTATCCCTTCATGTTTGTAAGAATCTGTTACAGTAACAGTAGGAATCTGATATAAATTTTAGTATGAGGTGGGGTATTGCTATGACAAATACCTACAGATGGGAAAGTGGTTTTGGGATTGGATACTGGGTGGAGGGTGGTACAATTGTTGGTGATGAACTTAATATAGAAACTATAGATTTCCTGAGCCAAACCACGGCTGGAAATGTGGCTATTAAAGGCATTTCTGGTGATGGCACAAAAGCAAAGAATACTGTATTGAGAAAAAAGGCAGTTGTTGTTATATAGCAGCAAAAACAAAACAAAACAACAACTTATCTGAATTGTCTCCTAAAGTTTAATGGAAAGCCAATCTTGATCTTGTAAGTAACAAAGTTGGGTATTTAGCTGAGGAGCTTGGCAAGTCAAATGTTGTAGGTATAACTAGTTCATTCTTGCTGGGGAAAAGAAGTCTTATGGGGGTGGGGATAAGAAAAGATGATAAAAGAATATATGATACATGACAGTGAAATGGGAATTACTGGAGGGATGGTAGCAAGGGGTAATGTGGAGGTGAGAGCAGAAGGGTAGAAACTGAAGAGAAGAATCAACAAAAACCAAAATATGCATGAAAATGCCACAATGAGACTCATTCTTTTTGTACTAATTTTAAAAAGAGCTAAATATGAGGAAATTAAAATTTTAAACAAGGAAAGAAATAAGAGAAGAGGTAAATTGAAGAATCAGTATGTCAAGAAGAAACCACTACTTGATTGGGTAAATTTTGTTAATCATAAAAGATGGTAAAATGATGAAATTCTATGTGAAGCGTGTGCTTTGGAGTTAAGATGAAGGATATGGTCTTCCAGCTTTTTAATAGTGCTAAATACACCAGCTACACATTCCTGGATTCATTCAACTACCTCAACACAGAGGTCCAGCTATTTAGGAAAGAACCATGAGGCCCATCTTTTCTAAAGTAACATGATATACATGGAAGTCCCACAAAAGTTTTGAGGATGCAATAATTACCAGAATACTCCTGGCTTGGTTTGAAGGTGACAGGAGGAAATGAGAAAAAGGCTGCCAGATAACTATGGGCAGAAAACAAGCTAATAAAATTATTCCTCTGCAAAAATGTGATGACTTTCAGATTAGAGAAGTGAGCACCCAGATGGCAGAACAAAGTACGGATACAAAGGCAGAGACCTAAACCCTGGGGCAGAGAAGCATTGCAAGGCCTTGAAGCCTATGTGGAACTGTGTTATTTATCTATTCATTCATTCATTCATTCATTCATTCATTTATTTATTTATTTATTTATTTATTTATTTATCTATCTATCTATCTATTTGTTTGTTTATTTATTTATTTATTTATTTAACAGGTGACTCTTATTTTCTGTTCTTTTTAGAGTAGGAGTGCCTTTGTTATTAGTCCATGCCTACCCCAGTGTTATTTTAGAAGACAATAACTTATTTTTATATGTTATTTTAGTGAATCCAGTTAGAGAAAGGATATTATTCCATGGGTGAGCACATCCTAAATATCATTCATACTTCATTAGACAATATAGATTATAGGATTTGGAATTAATGACATTTGGGTAAGATTTTGGATTTAGGGGTTACTGTAATGGGTTGAGTCTGGAGAATGTTGAGATGAAATGAATGTGTTTTACATTTGGGGCAAACATATATTTGGGGATGAGTGGGAAGAAAAGTGAGATGAGTTTTTATCTACAGGAAATATATAGTACCTGGATGTTAGCTTATTTGGAAAAAGGATCATAGAGATATCATGAAGTTTAGGATATGTGGTGAGGTAATTATCCTGTCTTAAGATGGTGGTCTCTAAATGACACTATCAGTATCCTTACAGGAAAGACACAGAGAAACCAGGTACACAAAGAAGATGGTGATGTGAAAAGGAGCAGAGAAAAATGTGGCCAAGAGTCACACAATGCCATTGGCCATCAAAAGATGAAGCCAAGAACAGGCCGCTGTTGTAGCCTCTGGAGGTAGCATGAATGGTTGATGCCCAGATGTCAAGCTTCTAGCCTCCAGGACCATAGTAGAATAATCTGCTGTGATCTTAAACCATCAGATTTATGGTCAGTCATTACAGTAACCAAAGGAAAATATTCTAACCAGCTAAACTGGCTGTAACATTCTGAAGTAAAAGTTGTAGAAACAGGTATTTCTCATCTATGGCAGAAATAAACAAAAATAAATAAATTACTTGAGCCTAATTTGGTTTCCTTTTAAAAATACCACTATGTACTTTTTTGTTTTTGCATGATAGCTTTTAACCTAAAACAAAAAGTGCAAGTGGCTTGAACAGGACTATTATAAGTCACATAAGTTAATTATATGTCCCCTGAAATGTTTTCAAATGTTTGTGAAAAGCATGTGGAATGTATTTAAATACAAATATATAATTTATCAATAAGAGTACTTCATTCTTGTTTACAAACTAGAAAATAAGGCAAATTCATATCTGGAAAAGTAATACACATCAGTATTTCAACCTTAACCAGCTAGAAAATATGGCAGGGCAAATGCCCCAAATTTCAGTTTACATTTCAAGATCAATTTTCTATAGCCTGAAAAGCTATAAAAAGAAAAAACAAAAACCTCAAATAAGCCATACCACTATATTTCAGAAAATACTTTGTAAGTCAAAAATGCATACAGTAGTTATTTACATCAATTAGTAGAACTTAAAGTTTGTGGTTATTGTTTAAAAAAAGTGTGTGAAAGTGGAATGTTCTAGTGTGTGTACATGTGTGTATATATGTTTGTTTATGTAAGAAAAAAATGAAAAAAACTCAGACATTGTTACCTTCTGATTTCTCTACTTATATCAGCTTCAGAGTATTTTGAAGTATAATACCCAAGTAAGAATGCACTAGAGTGAAAGGCAACAGTTTAAATTACTATATATCTGTATAAAGATTCTGTGAGCAACTGGTCACATGTTTACATTATCTCCAGAAGGTGGCTTGCCAAGCCAGTCATTTGTTCTTTTCTCTGAATGTCTATAATGTGCTTTGGAGAAATAGAATTAGAATTTTCTATATAAGAAATATACATACAGCAATCACAATCATCTTCATGAATAAGTCTTGAAATTATACTCGAGAGAAGTTATACCAATTATTACAAATTTACATTATAAAAGAATAGACCAGTTAAGTATAACTTCTGCTCTCTCACATATTTAGAACAAATGCTGAGCTTCTTTATCTGCTAGCATTATTTTGGCAACATCACTGAAATGTGTTACTAATATAAGGTAAGTAAGTATGATGATGACAGAGCTTTATCTTGTACTGGGATATGGAATTGTTGCAGTAAGATGTATAAACACATACACAGAGAGAGAGAGACACACACAAACACACACAGAGAGAGAGAAAGAGAGAGAGAGAGAGAGAGAGAACTGCTTTATCTTCAACTACCAAAGTAGAATGGAAAAGGGGACAGAAAGGGAGATAAAACAATTGACCTTTCAAAAGTTTTCTACTGCCTCTTCCATAAAAAAATCATTTTCCTTGCTCTGGAGAATTCACAGTTCTATTACTTATCTCAAAGAGGGTGAAGGGAGAAAGAAGCAATAGAGTGAAGAATTAGGAATCAATATTTTCCTCTAAAATCTAAATAAAGGCAATAGAATTTTCAGCCTCATCCCTAGCACATACATGGAAGTGCAGAAGTTTTCTCAAAAATAGATACATAAAAAATTTCTATGAAGCAGATACCTATGCAGAATTAAAAAAATACTTCTTAAATAAAGTTGAAATCTAGCTGATCTTGTTAAACTTTGGTTTATTTTTATCAATGGGAAGTGCCTACAATATTGTGCTGAAACTGTAGACTAATGGTAAGATTAATTTCTGACAAATAGATGAATCCATTAGCTTTCACTCGAGACACATTCCAAATACCTTGAGTGGGGCTTCTCTTTCAAAGTGTGCTATTTGTACCTTCCCCATCATTCTTTCAGACTTTATACTATACACATAAGATAAGCTGGAAGTAGACACTGAAAACTCTGTCTATTCCTTACCTCCCCCTTTTTCTATTTTTCTGGGAATGAGGTAGGTAGGGGTCACCTAGAAAATTCAGTTTTAATTTTTTTTTGACAGACTGGAATATTTGTAGAAGCATTGGGATTCTTCCTTTTTTTAAAATACTTTCAGCTTCACAGTCAGGTCATTATGCAAAATGACATGTAATATATGTCTTTACAGAGGAACGAATGTTTTCTGATCATGATATCTGGATTAGGATTAGTGTATTTGCAGTATTCCTACAAATACACATTTACTTAACCCAGCTCAGCTTGACCTTTGTGAAAATGCATTTATTTCCACTTCAACTCTTGAGTGTATATTTTGTTCTTCTCAAAATGGATTATTATTTTTTTTTCTTAAATGTCTCCACTGTCTCTGGCCTCAGGAATCACTGGGATGATATGGCTCCATTGTGGCGAGAGCGTGATCTTTCCAGAGGAGCCCGTCTGTTATCTGTAAGACAAAGAGAAGAAGAAAGGAAAAAATGATGAGCTTTAGATCCTGACTATTGCACAGTGTCAGGTCGAGAGAGGTTTTCAATGTCTTGAAAATTCACTTCAAATGAATATGGAAATAAGATGCTAAGAGCCGGATGTTAGGCATTTACACTGCAGCTGCCAGGCTGAGTTCAAGAGTTCTGCAATCAGCAGTAAATGATTTTTCTTGGTAAGCAGAGGCAGAATGACAAAAGAAACAGAATTATTCTCTCAAACACAAACCGCTTGGAAATAAGTAGGTGACAACAAAATTCCTTGGTAAAGATGTTAAATTGAAATGATCTATGTACACTGCTTTTTGTTGAAAAGCTCTCCAATTCCCCATGAGTTTTCAATTTGTATGCTGGTTGCCTCTAAAGGACCCCAGTGGGTGCAGTGTGTGTGGGGGGAGGGGGCGGACAGAGAGTTCTTCTTCTTCTTCTTCTACAATTATTGCAATATATGGCAATCAAAGCAGCTACTGAGTTTGCCTGATTGTATGTTGTAAACAAATTCAATACATTATATAGTCATTACAGGAATGAATAATGAATGGGACCTATTCTTGGTTCTATTCCTCCTACCCGTCACAGGAAGAAAAATCACTATAGAGATGGCTGTTGGCACAAAGCTTGGAAAGCAAAGTTTAAAAGCATGGAAAGTTGCTGAAAATAGTTTTAGCTTTAATAGGGAAAAAGCTCTGAATTACGATGATCACTACTATATTATTATCACCTCTGTTTTATGCTCGGTTTAAATGCAATTGATGTGGGTGAAAATCTCTTCCTGGCAAAAGCATAATATACTTAGATTCTCCATTTAGAATGAGACTTTGTCCCCAGAAATAATGACAACCACCAGCACTTACATAAATGCTAACACTTTGCACTAATTTGTTAATTCACGCAACATCCCCGGGAGGTAATCCCATTTCATTCCATCCTATTATCTCTACTTTAGTGATGAAGATTACATAGCAAATCAGTGGCATGATGGGAGATTACAATGCAAAGTTAGTGCCTAAATGTCAGCCCTGCTTTGTTCAGAAGTAGATGTTGGAGCCTCCCAAACTGCTATTCATTTCCTCCCTAAGATGATGATGACTCACTAACATATCCTGTCTCTCTGTCTCTCGATGGAGAGGCTGGACTGAGAAGTGATGAAAGGTTTTTTTGTTGTTGTTATCATGATGCTTTTCTGGGTCATGCTATCATCTCTTGACTGATTCCAGCAGACTGTGGTCAATACATGGTAAAACTTTCTTGTACCCATGACCTTGGCCTCATTAACACCACCTTGTGAGTACACTAAGCAAACTAGTCAGAAGCATAAAGCATACTCAGTGCTTCAGAATGCAATAATATTACAGAAACGTGAGAAGGTAAGAGGCTTTCTGTACTTGGGAGACATATCTGAGTGATGGATTATTTGGGTATCCTTTTGAAGATACTATTAAAAATCCATTATTTAATTTGTGATATGGCTCACAATTCAGCTATAAATGTGAAGATAACATTCCTGGATAAAGGGCTTATTACTTAGATGGCACAGGTTTGCATACAGATTAGATTGGGACTTCATAGAAAACGTTTAAAACTTTAGCTACAATCAAATGGTTCCCTCTGCATTACAAGTGTTCAGTGTTATTCTCAGATACGATAATGATGGCAGCATTCCCACAGGGTTGTGCCAGCTCTAAGAAAGAAACTAGTACATTGAGGATCCTACAAGCTAAACTAGCAGGTATCTGTGCTTTCATCTAAGAATGTCTCTGGTACCCCATAACATCACCAAACATCTAGTGGATCTCCTCCAAAACTGCAGCCTTATTGTGTTAAATGACAGGATGTGAGGAATCATGCCACCTTGCAACTACTGGTGGCATTTGGTGTGAAAAATACTTTTGAGTCAAAGAAAACTGACTAAAGAACATTAAAGCTTTCGGAAAGTGGCATAAATAATGGTTCAGTACCCAAACCCAGCTTTATGGCATACAGAATAAAGAACTCTTTTACATTTTCTTTTTCTATCCCTTTGATCCCCTTTGGGAGCCTACCAAGTTCCTAAATCAATAAGATAATTACATGAAGAAGTAATTCTGTAAAGGTCATCACTTATATTTTTGAAATGTCAACTTACAACCTTGTTTGTTTAAAAAAAGACACTAGAAACAGTGGCAACAATTGCTGCTCTTAATTTAAAAAAATAATTTTCAGTTTTGTATATTTATGTTAAATATAATTTTGCCACATAATCATGTTTGTACCATGAAGTTTTATGGATTAACCCATAAGTGAAATTAAATGGCTCTCATAAAGCATACACACACAGACACACAGAACACAGACACACACACACATACATCTGTATTTTCATATGCATGCATACATAGATTTTCCATCTGTCTTCATATTCTAATGGCTAATAATCTAGTGATAACAATTTTTCATGCTCAAAAGTGGCTTCATCTTTGAATAAGAGATTGAAAAACCACTGAATGGATTATTTGAAACACTTTTATATTTATGGGATTCAATACTAACAGACCTTAAAAGTCAGCATCACATTTATAGGAAAAGAGCAACTGTTATATATTATTGCTGTCAGAGGTAACAGAGTAATTGAGATGATTGCAAAATTGATGCAGTTGTTTGGAAACAGGTGGAGGAAGCGGGTCGTGTGCTATATGATTTGAGGGCTTAATAAAGACCTACTCAGAATCAAGTTAATTTCCAAGTCCACCAGAATTTGGTAAGCAAACTCAAGCTGATTCTTCTTATTCATGAAAGGCTTGTGTTTGAAATAAACTCTTTGTGTAGGTGAAAAGATTCTGATGTTACTCTGAAGAATGAAATCAGAGTGGTGCTGAAGATCGTGCTTTGGAGGCAAATGGGCTTCAGAAAATCTTCCAAATCTTTCACCAAAGAACAACTTAAGCACATGTCTTGGCTTTAATATGGTTCATAACTTTTATTAGCCTACCCAGTTCAAATGTGAAGGATGTCTTACTGTCATAAGAGGAAGAAGATCCATACCTTCTCTAAGCAAAAGTGTATGTGGCATTCATTTCTAAATCTTTTTGAGTATTGTAGTAAAATGATTAAACACACTGTGGTTCTGGTCTAGAATCCACTCATAATCATTTATTTAGTGACTATGTAAACAACATACAATGTAGAAAATATACAAATTTCATTATGTTTTAGATCTATACTTAAACCTACATCATTAATTTTGTTGTTACTTAAAATGTCAAGTAGGGAGAGAAGAGGGATGGTGGGTGGAACTGGGAAGAGATGGAGGAGGCTACAGCCAGGATACAAAGTGAATAAATTACAATAGATACATAAATAAACAAAATAATAAACTATTAAAAAATATCAAGTAAAATGGCCAAAGACTAAATTCAGATAAGACATAGCCTAATACAAAGAGCAGACAAGCCAGAATAAAAGTTTCATTTCTGCAGTATGCAGTCTAGAGGTATGCAATCAATATCCTAATAAAGTGTGTGACTAGGGATGTAGATGTATCTTGCATACTACATGAGATGGTCAAGCTGAGGTTGAAAGCATGATTTAAAAAAAGGGCCATATCTATTACTTCTTCCTCTCATGGTGTGGTGTCCCTCTGTTGTCCTTTAAAGAATAGTATCTTAAAAAGTATTGAGCTCAAACTAGACGTGCATTATGGTATTCTATCCTTTTCTTGTAGATGTTTTAGGTTGTTAAATATAATACTAATAACATAATTTTAATGGCCATATATTCAGTTTGATTATGCAAATATATCATAATTTACCTTTATTTCTTTCCTGAAGAATATTTAAGATGCTTTCAATATTTTGCTGTTACAACAGCATAGAAATATGAATCCTTATAGTTACATCCATATGTATGTCAGAGCCATATCTATATGTATGCCCTAGTTATATCCATGTATGCCATGCATAGAAGAAACAGTACTAAAGTATGCAGAAATAACCTCAAATGATATTAGAGAATAGTTGCATTAACTTAAATTCCATTTGCATTACATGAATTTGTCTGTCTTATCTCTTTAGGTAATAATCTTTAAAAAAATGTTAATATAAAAAGTGAAAAATGACATATGATTCATTTCTTTTCCATTTTATTCAAATACTAGTCGGGTGGAACTTCCCATATATTAACATCCATTTATTTTCCTTTGCACATTGGCCTTGTCTTTTGGCTATTTGTTATGTTGTTTGATTTTGCACGTGATATACTTAAGATAGCAACAGACTGAAATATATATTAGAAATATTTTCCTTAGTTGTTTGCTTATTTTGTGTTGTGGGTTTTTACGACCGTATGGTTTTATTTTTTTTAAAGATTTATTTATTTTATGTACATGAGTGTTCTATCTGCATGTACACCTGAATGACAGAAGCGGGCATCAGATACCAATATAGATGATTTTGAGCCTCCATGTGGTTAATGTGAATTGAACTCAGGACCTCTGGAAGAAAAGACAATGTTCTTAACTACTGAGCCATCTATCCAGCCCTATTTTTTTTATCTATTTTTATGTAACTAAATCTATCAACATTTATATTTTGATATGTTCTTTTATTTTCAGCTTTCTCTAATAGACCTTTATTTGTCTAATAGACATATCTAACATTCAGATATTTGATAAGCATCCAGTCTTGACTCTTCATGGTATTAAGAGTTTAATCCATTTGCATTTAATATTAAAATTATCTTCAATTCATTTTGTTTCACAATGCCAGATAAACTTCCACACTACTTTGTTTTTTGTTTTATTTTTTCTTTCAAAGGACAAGGATTGTTCCATCACAATTTCTTGAATCACCAATTACTATAGTCATTGATAATATCCCTTTTATCATATATTTAAAAATGACACAGTTTCTACTATTTTGCCATCAGTATTATTGTGAATTTTTTTTTATAAATGCCTTCTCATTTCATTACTCAAGCCTTTTGGTAA